CTCTCTCCCTCTCTCTCTCCCTCTCTCTCTCTCCCTGCTCTCCTGCCTTCCCCTTACACTGACTCCTCATCGGCTCGCGAACTCCTCACCCCTAGTCACTGGCGTTCATTCCGTTGACGAGTGGCTCCAGGCCCAGCTCCTGACAGCTGCCCTGACCATCGTGTCTCAAATCCTCCGCCCCGGGGGTGCTTTCACCGCCAAGTTCTTCCTCGAAGACAACACCTCCTTCCTTTTCGCTCAGATGCAGGCCGCCTTTGGGCGGGTCTCCATCTTCAAGCCGGCCTCCTCTCGCCCCTCAAGTCGAGGTACGTGCCTGACTCATTGTCGTGGCTGCTGAAGGCGATACCTGGCCCTTTCCATGTGGCCACAAACACCGCGCATGCGCATCCCTGCCTTGCTTGAAACCGACCACTGACTCCTCTCTCTCTCTTACACACACACACACACACACACACACGTCCGCTTGCCCCGACTGCACCCGTGGAATGCAGAGCATTTCATTGTTTGCCAGGACTTCTTGGCTCCGAAGGGCCTAGCCGAGTCCCTGGCCGAGTGGACCGCGGCCGGCGCTATTCCCCGGCCGACTGGTCCGGCAATCGCCCCCTATGTTGCCACTGGTGACCTGGCTGGGTTCAACGCTGAGGCCACACCCGACACCGAGTCGGACTCCTTCCTGGATCTGTCTTTTGATGAGATCCCCGAGGCTCCCCTCAGTCAGAGCTGCCTCGGCTCGTCCAATGTCTTGGTCAACGCCATGCCTGCATGTTGGTAGGGGGCGACCCAGAGTGGGCGTGGTCGAGGGTGTCTTGTTCCTCTTCTTTTTTCTTTTCTTTTCTCCCTCCCCCCACCAATAGACCACCAGCCTCCCTCAGGCTGTCGGCGTATTCCTCCATTCGGAGGTGAAACAGCAAGAACGAAAGATGACATTGGTGTACTTGTATTTGCGCGTGCATTCACACACACACACACACACGGACAGACAGACAGACAGACATCAACTTGCTGGGTATAGCGCCTCGATGGAGGAGAGCAAGCGGCGAACCTTTTCACAAGCGGCATTCACTGCGGCAAGGGCCACCGCCGCCCCGGGATGCGGGGTCTGCGAAGTCCACGAGATCACCGTGGGACTTCCGAGAGAGAGAGAGAGAGAGAGAGAGAGAGGGAGGGAGAGAGGGAGGGAGAGAGGACGATGGCGCTGGATGGTTAGAGAAAAAAGGCACATCTGTGTGCAGGAGACAGGCCATGAGAGGCGAAGACAGAGAGGCAGAAAAATGAGAAGGGGCGGACACGGGAGGAGCCCCATCGAAAGACTCTCCAACGCACTGGTCATCGCTGTTGAGGACCGTCTGTCCGGCCAACAAGGCGGTATCATTCTGGTTGGACATCCCAGCGACCGGGCTCATTCCAAGCCCAGGCGGCGAGTGGGGGCTGTACATGCAGTTGGGCCCGCAGTACAGCTGGCCTGTCCGTCCTGGGCCAAGGCCATTGAGGCTGCTCAAGGAGGATGATGACGCGGAGGTCAAATCGTCGCTCGACGCATCGCCGGCCGGCGGCATATCGGACAGGTTTGCCAGGCAGGCGCACTCGGCGCTGCCGGAGGCCGGCTCAGTGAATGTCACTGCGCCATGCATCGGCGACGCAGCCAGCCGGACGCCACCAGCGGCCAGAATCACCCCAGACGGAGGGTCCGGGCTCCAAGGCTGGGGCGAGGGATGAAGGGGGCATTAAAAAGTGCGATGTTAGTCCACATTGTGCAAGACTCAGCCCCCCATGCCCACTTCCCCCTCTCTTCCCCCCACCGGTATATGTACGAATACCGCTCCGCAGGTGCAAAGGTACGCCGGCGTGCGCGCGCGCGCGCGCGCGGAAACACGCACCAGCGCCGCCCAGGCCGACGGACTCCGCTGACTGCCGATCAGCTCGACCAAAGAGAGGGATCCGTATGAGGGCTCCAGCAAACGGCGGGCCTGCTCCAAGGATGAGCCAAGAATTTCCAGCAGCCACTGGAGAGCATCCCGGTCATAGGCCGGGAAAATGTGGTCGGTGGGCTCATCACCAGGTGCATCGGCCGTCTCCCCGCCGCCAAGGTGGCAGTCCAACTCTTGACGGACCTCGATCAGAGCCCGACGCGCGTCGACCAGCTCGGCGATCGGCCACCCACGCTCGGTACTGATCGAGGCAAATACCATCTCGGCCGAGAGCCCCCCGCCGGAGGAGAAAGAGGAAGACCGGCCTGTCGGTGGGAGCGAGGATGGGGTCACAGACAACGGGGCCGGGGGCTGCGACCGGTCACCGGTCCCAGAGCGTGGCCGACCGCCGGCTTCCTCCGACCCTCGGGGGAAAACATCTGCCGTGAAATTAGCCTGATAGGACCGAGGAGAAGGACTGTATCGGATTGTCTGCAAGCATGCAACCATACATATCATCAGACAAGAGGGCAGCGGAAGGAAAGAGCCGGGTGGGGGGGGGGGAGGGAGCCCAGAGGGAGCGAGTGGCATCGTGAAGGCCGTTAGCACGGGCAATGGGAGCATCGAAGGCGAAGTGGAGAGAAAGACCGGACCAGACGAATGACATGACAGCCCCACACGGTAACATGGCCAGAAAGGAGGCGGTCCATGGAGCCGGAAGCACCAGCCAGACCGACCAAAGCCGGCATGAAGCCCGACTCGAAGGAGGTGCCCTTGGCAGGGCCAGAGCTATGGACCGCCGAAATGAGCAAGGTGTTCGAGCTGCTGGCCGGCGACTTGCGCGAGAAGGACCCAGCACCGTCTCGCGAGTCCTTGGATGGAACGGCTTGCATCAGGTGGACAAGGGCGTCCTTTTTTGTTTTCCAGCGCCGCCGCCGCCGCCGCCGCCGAGGGAAAGGATGTGAGTGTGAGTCAGGCCGAAAAGACGGGAAGCCGGCTCATGCAAGGGGGGTTGCGGAAAAGGGCGGACGACAAGTACATTGACAAGGTCGGAGAGCTCCTCAAAGAGCTGCGGGATCTCGTGCGTGACAAACCACTGCCACTCGGAAGTCTGGGGGAAGATGGAGAGAGAGAGAGAGAGGCGTCAATTCCGACAGATAGACGAAAGGAGCTGGGCCTGATGGCGGGCTGCGAAATGTCACCCAGGCGCGGACCTTCTGGCATTTGGACGGAGCCTCAGTCGCGACGACAAATTGGTCCATGGTGGAGACCAAGAACAGTCACGATCGGAGGACTTGGGCAGCGACAACGGCGATGCCTAGTGGGGGGGAGAGAGAGATGGGGGGG